GATAAACCACTTGGGATGTTGGAAGAACACTCGAAGAATTCGTAAATGACTCGCCCGCGGCTCGTGATTTACGAATTCGTCTCGTGTTCTTCCAACATCCCGCGCGGTTTATCAGCCTATAAACCATAAAAACTTGTGGTCTATTGCTTGACTCTTTGGGATTTGTTTATCTTAGAAAACTAATATTTTCAGGTTTCCTCTAATTTAAAGGTAATTTTGTACGTGACCAAAATAACTAAAGATGCCGTGACTCAGCTCCTTTGATTGTAAAGAAACGAGATCCTAAATTTAATTTGCTTCAAACACGGTTTGAAAAGCACTTTTGTTTATCTCCTTTGTACCGTTAGAAGTGGCAGAAGTTGTCTTTAATCGTTGCGTCAAAGACAATGGCCTTCACATTGAGGACGAGGAATATCAAATAACGCTTTATTACGAGTTCTTAGAAGATGTGTATGTAGACTGGTCAGATAATGGCGACGGAGCAGGTTCGGAAACTTCTAGTCAAGTGAACTTTTCAATGGAGGATGTTACTGAGAATGATCCATTTCAGAAGATACGCGGGAAAGCTGCGCAATCTGAAGCTATGGCTCAGCTGGAAAAAAAGAGCTATCATCCACTCATGATTATGGTAAATACAACTATTTTTTGGATGTTGGTATTAAAAACAAATACAATTTAAGCCCTCGCGTAAGTGACCGTCCAAAATGCCAAGCTTATGTGGTCTCAATTTTTGAGGCAGCCAGTAGTTCTTTCACGAAGTCCAAAGCAGTAGAGACAGGAATAGACAAATTTTATCCTGTTGTTTTCCTTTTTTGTGTTTCGGTTTTGTGTTTTTTTTGTTTGTGTTTTTTTGGTTTTTTTGGTTTTTCAGCAGCATGGAACAAAATGTGGGAAAAGGGGTGCTTACCATTCAGCCAAGAAATCCGGAAATTTCGGTTGAAATTCAAATGGAGCAGCAATTTTGCGGAAAATCCGTTCGGAAATTGTTGACTACGTCCAGAGGTAGTCCTCTTTTTCTCTTCGGAACGGAACCGCGGAGGTTTCCTTACCATTTGCTCCATTTTTCAGTTTCCAGTCTCTCTTCAGCCGAAAACAAAACCGGGAAATAGACTTGCAAATGGTAAGCGACATCTCGTTCGGTTGGTTTGCTGATTTTGGAAAAACTCTTACCATTATTCAACGGTCATCCCGACAGCTTTATTCTGGCCAATGGTAAGCACCCAAGGTCTGCCCTCGGAGGCTGTTATTGTCTCATACACATCGCCCGATCACGAGATCTGTTTTGTCCATTGAGAATATGCAGAAATTAATCAGTGGGTTAGAATGGAGAGTCTGCTGGTTACTTTTCCCTTTTTCATTCTGATGAGTTTGACAACTCTGTTGCAGGTACAGAACCAGCGAGAACCACTGCTTGCCCACCCTCTTGTGACATTTCTGTTGAACTACAAATGGCAGACGTTTGGAAGATACATCTATTACTTCAAGCTTTCTCTCTACTGTCTATTCCTGTTATTTCTTACTGGCTATACTGTTTACTCAACTGAGAATGCCGCAGTTTGTGTCAATGGCACCAATACACGACCAGACACTGTCGATGAAGATTCGGTTCCTTACGTACTGTGGATCAAGGTTGGCCGCATTGTCATACTTGCGCTAGCATCGTGGCACATTCTTTCTGAGGTAGGAAAACTTTGAAGGATTTTAACACTGTTCGCATTGGTGATTACCGTATTTATGTAAGTTACTAACTACCCTCATAAACAAAGCAGACTGTATAACGAAAAAAGGCCCCAAATGTTGGTACTGTAGGGCGGAAGTATAATGGTCGCATTATGTTGCAATGTAACTAATTACAATGAATTATTTGATTCTGCTACCAGACAAATAGTACCTATAAATCATAGTTTCAAGAAAGATTTAGTTAAGTTCGAAACAAATCACAAATAGCTCTTCTAGTTATTCAGTCCTGCGGTCAAGCTGTTCTATCTGGCATTGCGCCTTAGATCAGAGTGACTTCTTCAAAAGGTCGCTACATTCGGGTAGGCCGTTACTTACGGAAGGACCGTTACTTTTGGGGGAGCCGTTATTTCCGGGGAGGGGGCGTTACTTTCGGAATTCTACGGTATGAAAATTCAGCGGCCTAATAATTGGCGCCCTGGATTCACCGCAATGTACACTGCAAGACACTTGCAGTGCCTGTCATAGTGAACTCAGTCTCTCATAGTGACCCTCACACTCTCATAGTGACCCTCACACTCTCATAGTGACCCTCTCCGCCACCCAGGGGTTTGAATGGGTAGTAGTGAAAATGCTCGAGACCCGGGGGTGGGTTAACTTGACATCGGACTTCCATCCCATCCTGGAGCAGTCACAATATTGATTGTTATATAGCTGCGATTGTTTCCGCAACAGCGTGTGTTCTCAAACAACTGTCATTTTTTTTTTGTTTTTCTCGTTTCTGGTATCATTCATTACGGGTGTGTTGCATTCTCGTCCCCAGAGGCCGCGCTCCTTTTGGTCAGCACCAAGCATCACGACCTCTGGCCGGGTCCGATTTTCTGAACATGCACAGAGAATTCGTTTCGTACTCTCAGCCAATCAGATTTGTCAAACTTGAATCTGAGCATGCGTAGAGTGACGGGAAGTCCGTGAATCGCGGACTTCCGGTGTTGGATCTTCCCAGAGGTCGCGATTCTTGGGTGTGTTGTTGCTTTTTGGAGTGTTATGAGATGATAATCTCGGCATTCCGGTCTTTTGTTTTGTGAATCTCATAGTAGTTTTCGTGTTCATGTTAGTTGTTTCAGATGCTGTATCAGTTCAAGCAGTACTTCAGCTGGGAGAACCTTTTGGAATGGTCCGTTTATGTGCTTGCTATCATCTACATAGCTGATGAGTTTGACTTGCCTCTGGTAAACAGGTATGTGACCCACAGATGGAATAGAATTAGCGGAATGTTTCAGTCGGGGGAGTTTAAGGTCCCGTCCACATTACACAGGAGGGATTTGAAAACGGAGGTTTCACTCTGAAAACGCATCAAACGTTTTCCGTCCACACTACACCGGAGGGATTTGGAAACGGAAGCTTCACTCTGAAAACGCATCAGATGTCTCCCGTCCACACTACGCCGGAGGAATTCGAAAACGTAACAATCATCGGTTATTTGGGGTTTGTGTGTGAAAAAGTCAATCGAATTTTACGTCTTAGACGAATAATACGTCTCAGAGTCAGAGTTTCACAGTCCCTTAGTACTTTACTTCAATGTCTCCTTTTTACTATACATGCATCCTGCATAGCAGACGTAAAACGGGGGAGAAGGTGAGGTAGAGCGAGAACGGGGATAGAAGGAGGGGGTGAGGGAGACAGCTGCCTTCCCCTTCTTCCTCGCGTTTTTTGCCTCCCTTCCCCTTCCCTGTTTACGCCTGCGACGCAGGCTATGTACATGTGGTTAGCTTTCAAGCTGTTTGACAAGAGTTTATGATTGATTTCACAGCTGTACTACAGAAAAAAGAACTATTGGAGCATTATCAATATTTCTGGCTTGGATGGCCTTAGTTTTGTTTATCAGAAAATTTCCCAAGCTTGGAATATACGTTGTGATGTTTACAAGTATACTCTATACATTTCTGAAGTTTTTCGTCATATATGTGCTGTTCCTTGTTGCCTTTGCGCTTTCGTTCTACACGTTGTTGCATGATCCTCAGGTGAGACTCAATTTACTGTGTTGTAAGTCACTCAGACCTGAATTTTACAGTAACTGTAACATATTGACGTCAGTTTTTCGTGCGTCTGTTCTGTTATTGATCATTAATTTCGTCATAACATTGTCAATAATATGACAGACGCATGAAAAACTGACGCCAAGTTGTTTTCTACGATGACAAATTGTCAAATTGTCCGCTCTCGCTCGCTGACGCATTGCATTAACTATAAATTCATGTGTCTATCCGCTTATTGACAGTGAAAATTAGCCAATGAGCGCGCGAGAATTTCTGCAGCTATCGTAAAATAACTAATAGATAGCCTGTAATGTGAGTCATCTCCCGCGCTCAGCCTAATTATAATCGCCCGGGGACGGGAGATGACAGACATTTCAGGCTAACTAATAGAACGCTCCCGCAAGTTGATATCACCCTTGAGTGGATATCCCCCATGCCCTTCAATAGATTGATCCCTCCCGCATTAGCTGTAGGTGAATCCCTCCCATTATAAGTAGCACCTGTTATAAGTAGTCCTCTCCCATAACTGCTCCACTCCTCTTTCCCAAGTGGACACCTTCTTTACGTGGACCCCTCTCGTTTGGGGACTTATCTCGTGAGTGGACCCACTCTGCCTTCCAGTGAATGCCCCCAAGGTAGAACGAGGGACACCTGTAAGTAGACAGGGACACATCCCGTAAGTGCGGGGACACCTTCCGTGAGTCCATAGTGGCCCGGGTTGGCCCCTGTTATAAATGAAAACCCGTTGTACGCAAAAACCACACGAAGTAAACTCTCCCTGCTCCAAGCAAATATTTTTGTATTTTGATGTAAGAATATAGCAGATACCTCAACTGACACCTGTGATTCTCTCACGCAGCGCACTGTTCCTGCTTTTGGAGCACCAGGTCGTGCTATCGTGAAGACTGGGGTCATGATGATAGGAGAGTTCGATTTTGACGACTTATTTAACTCACCAGATAGTACAGTGCCTGGCGTCACGTGGTTCATTTTTATTGTTTTCGTGATTGTCATGACCCTGATCTTGATGAATTTGTTGGTAAGATTTCTTAGGTTGTGTAAATATTTCTCACGCTGATACGCTGCCAGCTACAGGCCCTAGTTTAGAGAGACAAATGACTGAGAAAACTGGGGCAAAGGCGGGAAAATTGTTCCCGCCAACCCGCCGACTCCCGCCTCGCCTCCAGTTTTCACCGACCACCGGATAAGGGGCTTGGACTACACGCATTGTAAGCAGAGTAGTAGAGATCATTTAGTAATTGTCCAGGCCTTCGTTTTGTCAGTTCGTAATAAATTAGCGTATCTTCTGTGAATTATTCTGAAACAACTCCTGCAGAATATACGCACAATTCCGCTCGGAAACTCAAGATAGCTACCCAAATATTTAACGAAGTAACATTGTATTGTTTGGTCACCTCAGGCGTGAACTTATGTCGTGCAATTATGTCGATGAATGTTGATACCTGGTTTGTTCTTCAGTTTCCCTTTAAAAAAGAAACTACGTTTTTATGTCTCGTCAATTTGGCATTTGATGCAAAGCTCGCAGCCAACGTTTTTCATTATTCTGATAGCTATATCTCTTCATTTTAGATCGGTTTGGCTGTAGACGACATCAAAGGTGTCCAGGAGCAGGCAGTTCTTGAGCGACAAGCCATGTTGGTACGAACTGAATTACGGAACTTGAGTTGAGACTTTATCTGTGTGTGTTCACTCAATTTCGACCCGGAAAATTCCATTGCGATGACGTGGCATTGCGTAGATCCGAGTAATGTCTCTGATTGGTTGTTACTTGCGCGCGAAGATTCAAAACCGAGCAGTAACTAATGAGAGACACAACACGAATCCCCATAAAGCTACGTCATTGCCTGATTTCATGCCTTGGGGGGCTGGAACTAGTTATGCTGTTTGGCGCACGGAAGCCGTAGATACGTAATAAAGTGAAGGAAAAAAAAAGGTCGTCGAAACAGGAAGTATTTTTCGGGTCGATTGTGGGACTTCTTTCCACGAAGGAAGAAGCGGGCTCTTTAAAAAGCAATTTTCTAGTAGTGCTTTGATCGTGTGGATCCTTAGCCCTGTTATTGGTGATTGAACTCCTGCAGAGTCAAGATGGATTCTTGAACATTTTCCAGACATTTTCAGATCCATTTGATTAACAACGGAAATGCGTATTTTTTGTAACTTTAATGGCGAATATTACTGTGCTTTGTTGTCCAGACAGTAGGGGAGATCGTCGGTGTCCTGTGAATAAATCGCAATCCATAAAAATCATCACTTGTCCCATTTTTGTTTAGAGGTTGGCCATCAAAAGTCAAGTTAGTAGAAGCGTTTTAGTAACACACTTTTAGAGCTTTCGATTGTTTCATCAGTCCAAGTTCTCTCTCAGATTTAGTTTGGTGTGCGGCAATCTTTATAAGATAAAAATAAGACTTAAGAGTCCCTGTCCATAAATATGGAAAATAACTCGGCAAGGGCCGAAAATTTGATTTCGCTCATATTTTAACGGTAGATAGGCTAGGGCATGACAAAAACTACTGGATAGTTTTTTTGGCAAAATATCCTTTTATTTCA